CTGTTGTCTTCTTCCTCCATCACTCTCTACTTTGTTACTGAGACAGGGTTTCCTGCTAAACCCGGAACACATTAGAGTTAGACCAGATTCCTTAAGGGGATCCCCCTACTCTCCCTCTCTAAAGGAGGGATTATATGTGAGCACATATGATGGTGCTGAGGATCTGAACTCTCATACTTCCATGGCAAGCACTTTATCTACAAAACCTTTTCCCCAACCCCAACAGCTGCTTTTGAAAAGAAATCTAAAATAAAAAGGACTGGGTGTGTAGCAGAGCATGCAGATGGCATGATGGAACAACTGACAGAGGCATTTTCTTTGAGACCAAGTGATGCTCAGAAATGCTGCAAGGTCAGGAGAATGGCTACCCCTTATTGCACTGTTTGCCCAAGCTCTCCATTGCCTGTATAAACTTGAGAGTGGGCAAAGTTCAAGGACAGAAGACAATAGAAAATCCAGAGCTAATTTTGATAAAGTCAAATTATCAGGCATTTTGTTCACATTGATTAGTAGGACAACAGTTCAGCTAATCAGGTATGAGATCAAGAATGAGAATCTGGTGCTGTGAGATGATCCTTCTGTGTGTTGTGAATATGTACTACTTTCATTGGTTAAAAATAAAGCTGTTTGGCCTATAGCAAGACAGGATAAATTACGTGGGACAATCAAACTGAGGACTGGGATGAAAAAGGGAAGAGTTGAAAGAGACTCCAACCAGCTGCCCAAGAGGCAAGCTGCCAGAGGACTGGTAAAGCCACAGGCCATGTGGCAATACATAGATTAATAGAAATGGGTTAATTTCAAAGTAAAAGCCACTTAATAATAAGCCTGAGCTATTGACCAAGCATTTTGTAATTATATAAGCTTTTGTGTGTTTATTTGGGACCAGGCGGTCAGAACAGAAAACCTCTGCCTCCGTTTATTGTCTGGCCTTGTTAGAAAAAGACATCTGAGTCTTATCAAGTAGTTCTTTAGGGATAAATCCTTCCCCAGTCGCTTAAAATGGAGTAAAATTTCTTAACTTTGGCAGTTTTCCAGAATCATGGGGCTCAGCAAAATTTGGGGGTATCACTAGAACCCAAATACCTTTGAAGAAAAACAAACAAACAAACAAAACTTTTCACTTGGAGAAATGACTTTTAGAGTTGCAACTTAAGAAAAAATTAGAACCTAAGGGACCAAAAAGGCTATGTCAGGGTCAAAGGGGCAGAATGACAGCTACACGCAATATGGAGGCCAATGCTGTCTGAGATACAGTTCTACCATTCTATCGTAACCTTCGTCTGCGTAACAGGCAGAGAAAGGCCACTGGTATTATTTCCCCCAGGTAACAGCTGTTCCTCAGATTTACTGGATTTGCTGAGCACTTTACACTGGACCAGCAGTGAGTCATTCATTGACTCCTCCCAACACAGCAGTATCATTATCTCATTTTGCTGATGAGCAGACCCAGGCTCCTGGGTAAGTGGTGGAGCTTGAAGAGAAGTTTAGGCTTCTGCTCAAACGCTCAACTACCTTTTCCCAACTACCATTGCTCTTACTCTCTCGTACCATGCTTTCCAATAGGTGCATTAAGTGTCCTGTGTATGGGGTAAGAGTCCCAGCAATGAACTATGGAAGCTTTGATGCACTGTTCCTCATTCCGATCATGCCACTCATTATTAATGTTACTCACCTCACCCTCTGCAAAATACTCTGAAGTCAAGGTGTGCGTGTTCTGAACAGGTAGGCTGGGAACAGAAGTGTGAGGTGCAGTGATTACAGGGAACTTCTCTGCCATTTTGTCTTTCCCTAAGCATGTAACCACAGCTACAGTGCTGCACTGCATGGAACAGCAACAATGGGCTTGAAGTCACTTCAGTTTTTCAAACAATGCAAAGAACTAATCTCCCATCACCCCCTCTGTCCCTAGCTTCTTAGGCCTGATTATGAAATCTGGGCCAACACCAGCTAATAAAATGATTGATCACCATCTGGCCACTTTCTCAGCAGTCTCTTATTAATGAGAAGCCTATCTGGATGCACTGCTATGAAGGGGCTGCCTGAGTGGTTTGATACGCCCCCACAATAAGTCACCATGGGGTTGCTAATCATTAATGGAGTACTCTTGGTGGAAATCAATTCAGGGCCTCATTTGTACCCCAACTACAGCCACATGCCTAAGGGACTGAACTGTTGCCTTCCTAAGAAGGTTAAAATTTCATAAAATCTATACTCACACTGAGGTAAACACATCCTGATGGTAGAGAAATGGTTTGGAAGGATTCCTGAAACACATACTTTAGGTCAAGGTAGAGTGACTTGGGCCTGGGGCGGGGAACCACTGATTTCTCCCGTAGGAAGCTTATAGCTGAATTTTCCTTTTCTCACCCTTTCATACCGGTTTCCTGGCTGGCTTTAGACAACTTGATGCATACATCCTGCAGCCACCATACTGAAAAATTTCCCCACAAAATCCAGTCATAGACAGGCTAGCGTGAAACCAGAAACCAGTCTCCATGTTCCTCAAGGCTATTTAATATGGGACCTGCCCTCTTCAACAGCCCTTCTGCCAAACTCTGTAACCAAACTTCACAAGGTATTTCAACTGTTAAAAGGAGCCATGTTTGCTCCTCAAACAAGGCCTTTGCATGTGCAGTTGATCTTCCCTATTCCTGGCCTCCAAAGACCAAAGTGCAGTTAATTCTGTACCTTTGCCAAAGAAATATAGCATGCTATTTCTTCTTGTGATTCCTAAAAGATATGGCATGAGATTTAAAGGTGATTTTAAGTATTCAGAAAGGATGTGCGCAGGTTATCTAAAAATGCCGGGCCAGGCTAGTTATAAAAGAGACATAGTCATCTATGGATTTTGACATCAGTAAATGTCATGGTACCAATTTCTCTGTGATAATAAGACATGACTGTATTACCTATTAGTCTTGTACTTCCAACATACCCTTGTTTACAGGCTGAATTTCATATTTTTTTCTTATATTCTCTGAAACACAACTTTCTTTAGGAAGCTGCCCTCACTATCCACATTCAGTTATCTCTACCTTTTATCCAAAAAAGGTCCTTAGACTGCTTGAATACTCCCTATACTCACATTGGCTTGCTTATTGCTGCTTGTCTACCACACTACAAGCTCTAGCAGGCAGAAAATGTTTGCGTTGTTTTCACTAATTCATAGTTAGTTCAATTTTTAAAAAGTGTTTTAAAATATTTTATTACATTTATATTTATTTGATTTTAGCAGGTAAGGAATATTTTTTTATCATATTTACTATTCTAGACCTAGTTCCATGATTTTTAAAAATGTTTCAAAATATTTTATCAAATTTATACTTATTTGATTTTTATTGCTTACAAATATTTTGATATTTATAAAATGTGCAGGGTTCAGGAAATTGAGTTAATGCATGTAGAAGCATCTACTGAGGCTACAACACAATTTTAACCCATTAATGTCATATCCAGTTTTCTCTACTGCTGAAGCAAACAGCACAGTTTTGTCATAGTACTGCTTCTGAACATGAGCAAGTCATTTGTGGTTTTAACAGACCTTTCTTCTTCCTATGTGTGACTCAACTTGATGCCTCAAAATGTGGCACATTGGCATACTCTGTACTTTGAACTGGACCATGGATAGACTGCTAATCAAATTACTTCTGACCAACTCCTGTCCTTCTGTTACTGACTTACTTTGGGGCCAGATTCAAATCATAGAAGCCAGACTGTACCTCTTTGGACTGCTGAGAGATAGTGAATTAGCCTCTCCCAGGGAGGCCCCCTTAGTGGTTTTCCAATTCAGAGTTATCTGCCTTACAAACCATATACACACAAACATAATAGTGGGCACAGCAGGTTGCGCTTATATATATTTGAACTCACACACACATACATACTCTTAATAACAAATATAACCAAAGAAAAGAGGGTATCGATTTAAGAGTGGGGGTTTGAGAAGAGTTCAAGGGGTGGGGGTTATCTGGTAGGAGCAGGGGGAGGGAGGGAATAAAGGGGGTTTGATGAAATTCTACTTCAATTAAAAACATGAGAAGTTAATAATTTTGACAAATAGTAAAAAGAAGAGAGAGATTGAGTTTTGTAATTTAAATTCTCCATTAATAAAATGACTTTTAAACAATTTGATGTTTAGCATAGGTTGCCCACTTTAATGGAAGAAAAGTTGAATATGTGAAAAAAATAATAAATAATGAATGAAGACAGAATGGAATGAACACACCCATACAAGAATAACTGAAAATCAAATACCAGGGGATATAAAGTGATTTACCTTCTTATCCCACAATCCTCCTATCTCTGTGCTCACATAGTCTTTCACAATGTTTCTTAGCCTTGTCTCAAACACCATGTCTTTTTTGTCATATGACATGGTAAGTGACACCTTGAGACAGCTTCCCTGCAGCCCCATTAAATTATATAATCACATTCTGGTTTTGTTCACAGTGAATTTACAGGATCCATCTGCACCTAGAAGCTGGTGTTCACAAGAAATGGGATCCACAGAATAACCTTTCTACTCAACAGAAGAGGCCAGAGTGGAGTGGAAACAGGTGGAGTGTTTCTATTTATCCTTAAAATGGAAAGAGAAGTAAGAACACCAGCAAACTGCTCTGTGTACTTTTCACATCCACGTGCAGCAGCTGTGCTCCTGCCTGGCAAGCTTACCTTCTGGTTGTCAATAACACGGCTACAGAAAGGAGAACCCTCTGAAGAGACTGATTTCAAAGCCAGCATTCCTTTCTCTCCCACTCTTGGCAAAGAGCCCAAGATCATACCACATGCTTGAGTTACAGGAAATCAAACCCGTGCCTGGCATGCTGCTGAGAAAGGAATACAGCCCTCAGGTACAGCCCCATCAACAATGACCAAAATCCTTCAGGAGTTCTCCAGACTAAATAAATGTCAGTGGCTTCCTGCATCCCATGGAGGCAGCCTCTCCATCCCTGGCATTATCTGGCAAGTCTCAGGATAACAGGTCCTGTGTGCAATACCTTTGGCAAGGAGTACTTGGGCAGCTTTATCTGGGCAAAGGCTTCTCTTCGATAGGACACGTAGTAGCTGGCTCTTCCACCTATTGTTACCTAGATCACGGGGGAAACAAAAAGAGATCAGATGGTGCCACAAGTTGGAAAATACTGTCCTGTCCATAAGCAACCACACTATGCTCAAAATTACCTTTTCAAGTATGTCTGGTGCTAGTTTTGAGTCTCTGATACCTTAAGTATTTCTATATCATGGTGCTGAGACAATAAATGCACAATTACAATAATCATTCCCATTTTCCTAAATTTCTAAGTGAGAACATAGAATGATTCTTGGTCACTGTGCTTTGCAGATAAAACACACCTAATCTTTATTTTCAACTGAATACAGAGAAACTATCAGCACTGGTTTCATTCATGATCTCTTTGTCCAGTATTAGCTATTTTTAATAATTTATTAATACATTATAACCATAGCACCATGATCATAAGCATTCTTTGGCATCTAAATGATTAGTATGTCTCAAAGCATCACTATTGTGGAATTTAATTTCATATCTGACTTGGTCATACTTTTCCATTCATATTCATAAATCCATGCATTGAACAGATGCTTACTGATCCTTCCCATGTGCAAACCAATTAAAGGCATTAAAGGTAAGAGGAAAAGTCCAAACATGGAATTCATAAACCTCTGCTAGTTCAGAGGTAGGATGACAGGAATGAGCTTTGCCACCTCACTTGGCAAAGGATAGATCCTTCATTAGATGACACAGAACCACTCCAAGAAATGATCCCCAGGCCCAGGTTTGTGGAAAAGTCCTGCCAAAAAGGCACAGCTCTGTGGAGGGCTGCTCTTGGTCCAATTATTCTAACTCCAGGGAAATTAATATTCACAGAAGAAGATAACATGGCCTGTTCAGAGAAAATAGCAAGAGGACAATAGCAACCAGGCTGCTGCAGAGGCAATTACTCCTGGCACATGCTTCCTTCCTACCAAAGCCCAAGCACATGCTGGAGACCAGCCAGTCCCCTCACTCCTGTCCAAAGCTGGCAGCTCTCCCCAGCAACTGCTGGGAGCAGTGGGGTGTAATGTCTCTCTTGAAAGCCACCCATCACTTCTCACTCTAAGAGATGACCTCTCCCATGGCTCTCTTCCTCTTCTTCACAGATTGGAAGACCCCAAAGCAGGTTCTCCAAGCTGTCAGGTAGAGTAGATATTAGAGTCAGCATAAGGTGGAGCCTGGGAAAAAGTCTGAATCAAAGTTCAGGCTGTAAATTAAAAATGAGAGATCTGTTTATTCCTTGATGTTTAGGGCTATCCTAGGACTCTATTCTCTAATGAGATGTTTTTTATTCTAGAAATTTTATTTTTATTTTGCTAAAATACTTGTTATAAATTTACATTGTTTTGTATTGGCACAGAAGTGGGTGTTGACATAATGAGATTGATGGTTTGTGGAAAATTCCTTGTTTTTAAAATAATCATTAAGTTCATAGAATTAGATTAAAATGTAACTCTTGGGCCGGGACCCATAGACACCCTTAGACCTTGCATGACCCTGCTTTTAAATTTTTAAATTATAAAATCAACACATATAAGCATACCTGCTAATCAGAAAAAAAAACAAAAACTAGATCAATACTTTTGAGTTTCAGCATGCTTTAGAATCACCTGGATAGCTTATTAAAACTCAGACTGCTGGGCCCCATGTCTGATTCAACTGAGTTTGGTTGTAGTCAACGAATTGTCTTTTCTAATATGTTTCCTGGTGCTGTTGCTATCTGGGGACCACACTTTGAGCATCAGAGAACTAGATCTTTAACAAAAATTTGCATACACCTCTATGCTCCTCACTTGAACTCCTGGCTGCTATTATTCATAGTGGTAATAATTTTTAATTGATATGAAATTCTTATAATTAAACCTTTTTAAAATGCACAGTTTAATAGCACTTAATTCATTCACAGTGTTATCCAGTTTTCACCTCTATTTTGTCCTAAAGCATTTTATCACCCCCCCCCAGGAGATCCCATATATGCACCACATTTAAACACCCCAAATATATGCCATGCTTAAAATATAGCTGCTATGGATATCGCTCTGTATAAATAAAATGCTGATTGGCCAGTAGCCAGGCAAGAAGTATAGGGAGGACAAGCAGAGAAGAGAATTCTGGGAACAGAAAGGCTGAGTCAGGAGACGCTACCAGTCACCGCCATGAGTACCAACATGTAAGATACTGGTAAGCCACGAACCATGTGGCAAGGTATAGATTTATAGAAATGGGTTAATATAAGATAGAAGACCTAGATAACAAGAAGCCTGAGTCATTAGGCAAAACAATTTAAATAATATAAGCATCTGTGTTTATTTTATAAGTGGGCTGGGAGACTGCTGGGGTTTGGTGGAAGTTGGAGAGAAACTTTCCAGCTACATACAGTTTCCTACAGAACTTCACAAAATCCTCCTTTGGCACAGATTGCCTCACACACAAGCTCACACACAAGCTCACACACAACCTGGAATATTCATGCTTCAATAATAAATACTGATTATGGTTCATATGGACCATGGAATGTTCAAACATATTAGAGGGCACAGGAAGACCACTAGCCCAAAGGGTTCCCCCAAGAACTTACACTATCATAGAATTCCCCCCAGATATTAAGGTGCCTCCTGCCATTTTACCTGACTGTATACCACTTTGCATTTGCTAAAACTCAATAATTCCTAAACCTAAGTTCAGGCCTCAAGAGTTCATGGAAAGGTCTTGGATGCCACCAGTTTACTGTGGTCCTGTCTATCACCTTCTGAACTTTACCTCTTCCTTTCCTGTGGAGCTTTTGGCATTTGCTCTTGTGACATACATATTCCTATAAGTGTTCCTTCATGTCTAAGAGCATGGTTGTGGTCTCCTTCCTTCCTAGACAACATAAGTGTTATCGTGTTAATGTTTGTATTTCTTCTAAAATGTATGTTGAAGTTTAATGCTCAATGCAATAATAGTAAGAGGTAGGGTCTTTCAGAAGGTGAGGAAGCTGTGAACACTTGGCCTAATGAAGTAGACATTAGAGCCTTTTAAAATGATTACAGGTAACTACCTTTAGCCTCTCTCACACATCTGTCCCTGCTGTGGGATGTTCTGTGTGGCAAATGTGTTGCTGATTAGTCAATAAATAAAACACTGTTTGGCCATTGGCTAGGCAGGAAGTGTAGGCGGGACAAGGAGGAGAATAAAGCTGGGAAGTGGAAGGCTGAATCAGAGAGACACTGCCAGCCGCCATGATGAGAAACAACATGTGAAGATGCTGGTAAGCCATGAGCCATGTGGCAAGGTATAGATTAATGGAAATGGATTAATTTAAGCTGTAAGAACAGTTAGCAAGAAGCCTGTTACGGCCATACAGTTTGTAAGCAATATAAGTCTCTGTGTTTACTTGGTTGGGTTTGAGTGGCTGTGGGACTGGCGGGTGAGAGGGATTTGTCCTGACTGTGGGCCAGGCAGGAAATCTCTAGCTACATGTCCCTTCTGCCATGTGAGAGCACGGTAGACAAGACACAAAATAACAGGCAGAGAAAGGGTCCTTACAGACAATGAACCTACCTCTGCCTTGATCTTAGTTTGCCAGGCTCTTGGGAACAATGAGAATTATACTTTCGATGTTTATAAGTCACTCAGTTTAAGATATTTTATAACAGCAGAAATAGTCTGATAAATAAATTGGTATGGGGAATGAGTTGTTGCTAAAATACATGGAAGGGGCTTTTGAAGTAGAGTGATGGGTAGAGGCTGGAATGGTGCTGAAATGGATGCTAGAGAAGCACATATTGCAAAGAACAGAGCTTTAAGGTAAAGGATCAGAAGATAGCTTCAGCGGAATCTTTAGTCTTAGAGAAGACTTAAGTGGTTGTGATCAGCACCCTGGTGGAGATACGATGAGAATGAGAAATACAGAGAATACGATGCCAATGAGATTTCAGGTGAAAACTTGAAGTAGTGTGTTAGATGCTGAAGGACAGGCTACCTTCAAAAAACTTACCTGAAGTGGGTCTATGTTCTAAAATTTGTGGACAGCAGAATTTCAGTGTATGGAATTAGAATGTTTGGTGGGAGAAACATCTAAGCAAAGTTAAGTTTGTCACACCCTTCAAGACAACTTACAGTAAATTGTGAGATGAGAGAATTAATTCTGGATAAAGCTTATATTCCAAAAGGAAGTGGTACTGTAAAGATATGGAAAATTCTGATCTTGGCCATGTAAACAAACAGTTAAAAGATGGGTTTGGATAAGAAAGCAAAAGGTGTGATCAAGGAAACATTTTATAAGGAGATTAGTATGAACAGAAGGAAGCCAGATGGCATTCATTAAGGGAATGGAAAAGTGGTCCCTGGGGCATTTGGGAGACTTCCAAAGCTACTAGTCCCATTATAGGCCTAGAATATCAGGGCTTTGAGGACAGAATAGTTTGAAGGCCTTGGGACTCACTACCTAGTGCCATGTGAACCTCTGTTTTCCAGATTCTACTGTAGAACTTTCTAATATTCCTGTTGGGCCTCATGTGTGGCTCGGGTCACATGTCTGGAAAGCATAAGGAATAAACCCTGAAGGCATTACCATGGGTACTAACTTTGCTAGCACACAGAGTACAAGGGCTACAGAGGTATGACTGCTTCCACTAAGTTTCAAAGGATGCCATGAAAATTTCTAAGTACCAGGAAAAGGATGCTGAAGGCATGGGGCTTCATCTGAAACCCCACTAGGACAGGAATTGCAAGACTGTGGCCAGTATACAGAGATTTCCACTTGAGAAAGTCCCAGCGGGGATGAGAGTCTACCCAAGAAATGTACCACCGATGTGGAACAGCAACCTAGGAAAGCTACAGGCAGTCCAACTCAATCCATTAGTGTTGCAATGTGGGCTACACCCAGAAAAGCTATAGGGACTCAACCCCTACCTCAGTCTGCCTAGAAAACAAGTCAAACAATGATCATTTTCAATCATCAGAATTAAAGTTGTAGTGATATTTTATTTGTGCTGAAATGTGGTGATATTTCACTTGTGCTTTAATAAAGCTTGCCTGGAGATCAGGGGG